AGCACCCACTGCCACTTCCCCATGACCCACCTACACAACCTTTGTGTCCCACCAGTGAGACACATCCCAATGGCTGAGAAACACTGAACTATGGGGATGTTTGCCTTCTACTGTATCAGGGGCCATGCCTCTTTTCCTTGAATCTCTTGAGCATATTTTAACAATTCTCACAGCAACAGGACATTGGCTGCCATGGTTCCTCTGCTTTACCTGTGGCAGGTTAGGGTGTTATGTCCTGTACTGTGTCAGGGTTGATGTGTAGTTTTGCTAAGCATTTAGACCATGGATTTGTCTAGGAGGGGTTGTGAAGGGATGATCCTGCATCTGGCAAGGGGTGGATTCTGAAGGTCCCTTCCAGCCCTACTTTTCTATATTTCTATGATTCAAGGTTTTGGTTTGTGGTTAGAAGGGAAAGGGAGTTTGGGTGCCAATGACTAGCTACATTCACCTTGTACAATTAAGAAAAGACCTACCCCAGTAATGGATGTGGTTTAAACCTCTAGCACTACAAAACATGTTGCAGTGGTCAACATAGCAGACCAGGAGCATTGCATTTAACGTGCAATTGGCATAAAAACTGGGAATTGTCTGAGGACATCTCACTAGATTTCTACAAGGGCACACTTCCACAGGCAGACAGGTCAAAAAGAGATGTGGAAACAACGATGAAAGTTTTTTTCTACGTAAAAATACTTAAAAATAATAGAAAATGGGGTGAAATCAATGATAATGTAGGTTACAAATCTAAAAATGCAGACAACTGATAAAGGGAGGATTAAAAAATCAGTTGCATTTGTACAACATATGAAAAGCATATAGAAAAAAAATTGCATACACATTAAATCATCTATAGGACCACTGAGAGATGTAGGTACTACACTGTAAATGTGACACAGAATAGGCAACAGTGATGGATAGATATATCTGTCCCACACTTGGAATGAAGTAGGTAGCTGGATCCAGCCAACATGCTGCTGTAGATAAATTCCTTTTTATTACAAAAAAGTATGTTCAAATCTATGCACCTAGGCATGAGTTAGCCCCCAGAGATGTCAAGGACCTCAAAGAGGTGCTTTCTGAACCACTAATGTCACATTTGAACTAATCTTGGGGAGGGGAAAAATGGAAATGCAAAGGACAGCACAGCTGCACAGGTCGTTTGGTCATTTACAAAGGCCAAAAGGAACAATCCAGAGAACTAGAAATCATTTAGCTTGACATCAGTCTGGGGGAAGAGAGTTACCTCCGAACTTTATCCACAAAGAATTGGAGCCTATCACTACAGTTAGGATCAGCCAGCAGTACTGGCCTGGTTTCACGGTCTTAGAGTTTATGTATGTGCCCAATCACAGCATTGGGGGAGTTGTACTGACTCACCATGCTGGCTAAATCCTGAACGGGAGGAAACATTATGTGTGTCAACACACTTTGACCCAGAGCTGCATGAAGGCATATAACGTGCCTGGTTTGGGAGGTAGTGTACGTGAAATACAACGTTGCCTGGCCCTGTACTGGCTGCCACATACCCGTGATTCTCAGCCAGGGGCTACAGAAAGCTGGAGTGCCTCGAGGTGCTTTTCAGGGGGCCGCAGGGTGATATCACTTAGGTGGGCAAAGATAAACCTGGAGCTTTCTGAGCTGTTGGGGTCTTTCTGAGCTCTTTGTTGCTGTGAGGCACGCAGTGTGGTTTTTTGGGTGGTGGTTGCTGTTGCTTTTGATATCCAGGTTGCTGGGATCTGCTTGTTTTGGGAGGCTGATGCTGGCAAGCCAGTTTCCAGACTCTAAAGGTGATGCAGAAAACACAGCTCGGATGCACGTTCAATGGCAAAAGCTCAAAGAGGTTTATTATCCTCTTACAGGACCTCAGCTGGTCTGATTAACCATCAGTCCACTTTAGTGAAGCTTGTCCTTGACATGCAGAGACACTACATTATTTCCGCTCCCCTATGTCTCTACAAGGGATAGGTCTCCAAACCCCTGTAGTTATAGTTGTATACCCCCTATCTCATGCCAATTCTTCTATCGCTTTCTGTCAAGATGTTCATCTCTACTTGTTTCATTTGCCACACTTTGATTCTTGTTATCTCTGTCTCATTAATGAGTTCTTTCTTTTTACATTCATCCTTGACTTTTTCAGATGCTGTTTTCAAACTCCCTTCAGTGTTTTTGCTTATTAGTGTGTTTTTGATTTTTTTTATCTTTCTTATTGGGTCATCCAATGGTCATGAGGGCTCTTTATTCCACACTGCTTTGTTTTTCAGCACCATAGCTTACTGTAGTTTAGCATAACTACAGCTGAGTACAACCGGGACTCCTATACTTTGCAACAGAGGAATTGCTCTATTCTTTTTCTGTAGTAAAAAAAAGAGTGAAAACAAAAAGCTGGCATTTTCTGAGAGGTGCCTGGAGTCTAAAAAAGGCTGAGAACTGCTGGTACAAATGCACCATTGGAAAACAAACCTGTCATCTCCTTTTTTTTTTTTTGCACGATTACGGGTCTGTCTGACAAAGGCTACTGTGCTGATATAATGGACCCAGATTCTGTCAAGTCATCTGGATGATGCCAAGCAACATTAAATAACAAAGTGAAAATAGAAATAGAGCAAACCTTGCATTCTATGGAATTAACAGGCTGCACTTTTTAATGGATTAAAACCCAGCCCACTGACAGATCTCAAAATGGAGTTGTTAATGAGCAAGTACCAAAGTTCAAGGCTGTTTCTCCTGGGATTCTCTTCAGACCAGGTCTTAGTTTAGTGCTAGCTAATATATATATTTTTTTCCAATAAAATATTCACTATTTTATTCAATAGGCCCTGAGCCTCTTCTGGCTTTGGGGAATTAGAAATAGATCCATTCTGGAAATTGTGAATCAAATGGGTTTTTAATGTTTCAGGGTGGTTTACTGTAGGGACTATTCAATAAGTATTCCCATGAATATCTAACAGCTCATACACCACAGTTAATTTTTAAAGAACCCTTAAGTCAGATGAAGGTTCATTCTTGTCTTTCTTTAAGGGCTGGATTGGGGAAGACCGGGTTAGAGAGCTTCTGGAGGGGCTGGACGCGTTCAAGTCAGTGGGTCCGGATGCTCTCCACCCCAGGGTGTTGAGGGAGCTAGCTGGGGTTATTGCAGGGCCCCTGGCACGGCTCTATGAGCGATCGTGGTGCTTGGGCCAGGTGCCAGATGATTGGAAGGTAGCAAATGTGGTCCCCATCTTCAAGAA